TCTGGCTCTTGTACTTAATGCTGACCTCTGAACCCCGTGTTGTATCTGGCTCTTGTACTTAATGCTGTCCTCTGAACCCCATGTTGTATCTGGCTCTTGTACTTAATGCTGTCCTCTGAACCCCGTGTTGTATCTGGCTCTTGTACTTAATGCTGTCCTCTGAACCCTGTGTTGTATCTGGCTCTTGTACTTAATGCTGTCCTCTGAACCCCATGTTGTATCTGGCTCTTGTACTTAATGCTGTCCTCTGAACCCCGTGTTGTATCTGGTTCTTGTACTTAATGCTGACCTCTGAACCCTGTGTTGTATCTGGCTCTTGTACTTAATGCTGACCTCTGAACCCCGTGTTGTATCTGGCTCTTGTACTTAATGCTGACCTCTGAACCCCGTGTTGTATCTGGCTCTTGTACTTAATGCTGACCTCTGAACCCCGTGTTGTATCTGGCTCTTGTACTTAATGCTGACCTCTGAACCCCGTGTTGTATCTGGCTCTTGTACTTAATGCTGTCCTCTGAACCCCGTGTTGTATCTGGCTCTTGTACTTAATGCTGACCTCTGAACCCCGTGTTGTATATGGCTCTTGTACTTAATGCTGTCCTCTGAACCCCGTGTTGTATCTGGCTCTTGTACTTAATGCTGACCTCTGAACCCCGTGTTGTATCTGGCTCTTGTACTTAATGCTGTCCTCTGAACCCCGTGTTGTATCTGGCTCTTGTACTTAATGCTGACCTCTGAACCCAGTGTTACATCTGGCTCTTGTACTTAATGCTGTCCTCTGAACCCCGTGTTGTATCTGGCTCTTGTACTTAATGCTGACCTCTGAACCCAGTGTTACATCTGGCTCTTGTACTTAATGCTGTCCTCTGAACCCCGTGTTGTATCTGGCTCTTGTACTTAATGCTGACCTCTGAACCCTGTGTTGTATCTGGCTCTTGTACTTAATGCTGTCCTCTGAACCCCGTGTTGTATCTGGCTCTTGTACTTAATGCTGACCTCTGAACCCCGTGTTGTATCTGGCTCTTGTACTTAATGCTGTCCTCTGAACCCCGTGTTGTATCTGGCTCTTGTACTTAATGCTGACCTCTGAACCCCGTGTTGTATCTGGCTCTTGTACTTAATGCTGTCCTCTGAACCCCGTGTTGTATCTGGCTCTTGTACTTAATGCTGACCTCTGAACCCCGTGTTGTATCTGGCTCTTGTACTTAATGCTGACCTCTGAACCCCGTGTTGTATCTGGCTCTTGTACTTAATGCTGTCCTCTGAACCCCGTGTTGTATCTGGCTCTTGTACTTAATGCTGTCCTCTGAACCCCGTGTTGTATCTGGCTCTTGTACTTAATGCTGACCTCTGAACCCTGTGTTGTATCTGGCTCTTGTACTTAATGCTGACCTCTGAACCCCGTGTTGTATCTGGCTCTTGTACTTAATGCTGACCTCTGAACCCAGTGTTACATCTGGCTCTTGTACTTAATGCTGTCCTCTGAACCCCGTGTTGTATCTGGCTCTTGTACTTAATGCTGACCTCTGAACCCCGTGTTGTATCTGGCTCTTGTACTTAATGCTGACCTCTGAACCCTGTGTTGTATCTGGCTCTTGTACTTAATGCTGACCTCTGAATCCCGTGTTGTATCTGGCTCTTGTACTTAATGCTGACCTCTGAACCCCGTGTTGTATCTGGCTCTTGTACTTAATGCTGACCTCTGAACCCCGTGTTGTATCTGGCTCTTGTACTTAATGCTGACCTCTGAACCCCGTGTTGTATCTGGCTCTTGTACTTAATGCTGTCCTCTGAACCCCGTGTTGTATCTGGCTCTTGTACTTAATGCTGACCTCTGAACCCCGTGTTGTATCTGGCTCTTGTACTTAATGCTGTCCTCTGAACCCCGTGTTGTATCTGGCTCTTGTACTTAATGCTGACCTCTGAACCCCGTGTTGTATCTGGCTCTTGTACTTAATGCTGTCCTCTGAACCCCGTGTTGTATCTGGCTCTTGTACTTAATGCTGACCTCTGAACCCAGTGTTACATCTGGCTCTTGTACTTAATGCTGTCCTCTGAACCCCGTGTTGTATCTGGCTCTTGTACTTAATGCTGACCTCTGAACCCAGTGTTACATCTGGCTCTTGTACTTAATGCTGTCCTCTGAACCCCGTGTTGTATCTGGCTCTTGTACTTAATGCTGACCTCTGAACCCTGTTTTGTATCTGGCTCTTGTACTTAATGCTGTCCTCTGAACCCCGTGTTGTATCTGGCTCTTGTACTTAATGCTGACCTCTGAACCCCGTGTTGTATCTGGCTCTTGTACTTAATGCTGTCCTCTGAACCCCGTGTTGTATCTGGCTCTTGTACTTAATGCTGTCCTCTGAACCCCGTGTTGTATCTGGCTCTTGTACTTAATGCTGACCTCTGAACCCCGTGTTGTATCTGGCTCTTGTACTTAATGCTGTCCTCTGAACCCCGTGTTGTATCTGGCTCTTGTACTTAATGCTGTCCTCTGAACCCCGTGTTGTATCTGGCTCTTGTACTTAATGCTGTCCTCTGAACCCCGTGTTGTATCTGGCTCTTGTACTTAATGCTGACCTCTGAACCCCGTGTTGTATCTGGCTCTTGTACTTAATGCTGTCCTCTGAACCCCGTGTTGTATCTGGCTCTTGTACTTAATGCTGTCCTCTGAACCCCGTGTTGTATCTGGCTCTTGTACTTAATGCTGTCCTCTGAACCCCGTGTTGTATCTGGCTCTTGTACTTAATGCTGTCCTCTGAACCCCGTGTTGTATCTGGCTCTTGTACTTAATGCTGTCCTCTGAACCCCGTGTTGTATCTGGCTCTTGTACTTAATGCTGACCTCTGAACCCCGTGTTGTATCTGGCTCTTGTACTTAATGCTGACCTCTGAACCCCGTGTTGTATCTGGCTCTTGTACTTAATGCTGTCCTCTGAACCCCGTGTTGTATCTGGCTCTTGTACTTAATGCTGTCCTCTGAACCCCGTGTTGTATCTGGCTCTTGTACTTAATGCTGACCTCTGAACGCTGTGTTGTATCTGGCTCTTGTACTTAATGCTGACCTCTGAACCCCGTGTTGTATCTGGCTCTTGTACTTAATGCTGACCTCTGAACCCAGTGTTACATCTGGCTCTTGTACTTAATGCTGTCCTCTGAACCCCGTGTTGTATCTGGCTCTTGTACTTAATGCTGACCTCTGAACCCCGTGTTGTATCTGGCTCTTGTACTTAATGCTGTCCTCTGAACCCCGTGTTACATCTGGCTCTTGTACTTAATGCTGACCTCTGAACCCCGTGTTGTATCTGGCTCTTGTACTTAATGCTGTCCTCTGAACCCTGTGTTGTATCTGGCTCTTGTACTTAATGCTGACCTCTGAACCCTGTGTTGTATCTGGCTCTTGTACTTAATGCTGACCTCTGAACCCCGTGTTGTATCTGGCTCTTGTACTTAATGCTGTCCTCTGAACCCCGTGTTGTATCTGGCTCTTGTACTTAATGCTGTCCTCTGAACCCTGTGTTGTATCTGGCTCTTGTACTTAATGCTGACCTCTGAACCCTGTGTTGTATCTGGCTCTTGTACTTAATGCTGACCTCTGAACCCCGTGTTGTATCTGGCTCTTGTACTTAATGCTGTCCTCTGAACCCCGTGTTGTATCTGGCTCTTGAACTTAATGCTGTCCTCTGAACCCTGTGTTGTATCTGGCTCTTGTACTTAATGCTGACCTCTGAACCCTGTGTTGTATCTGGCTCTTGTACTTAATGCTGTCCTCTGAACCCCGTGTTGTATCTGGCTCTTGTACTTAATGCTGACCTCTGAACCCCGTGTTGTATCTGGCTCTTGTACTTAATGCTGTCCTCTGAACCCTGTGTTGTATCTGGCTCTTGTACTTAATGCTGACCTCTGAACCCCGTGTTGTATCTGGCTCTTGTACTTAATGCTGTCCTCTGAACCCTGTGTTGTATCTGGCTCTTGTACTTAATGCTGACCTCTGAACCCTGTGTTGTATCTGGCTCTTGTACTTAATGCTGACCTCTGAACCCCGTGTTGTATCTGGCTCTTCCAAAACCCTCATTTTGCACAAATACTTTTTGGGTCTGTTTAATGTTTCACATATTTCCTTGTCCTTCTCGGTGTGTTGTTTGTGTGTGCGTGCGTTTGTGTGTGCGTGTGTTTGTGTGTGCGTGTGTTTGTGTGTGCGTGTGTTTGTGTGTGCGTGCATTTGAATGTTGGTGCATGTGTGTACTCACCTAGTTGTGTTTGCGGGGGTTGAGCTCTGGCTCTTTGGTCCCGCCTCTCAACTGTCAATCAACAGGTGTACAGGTTCCTGAGCCTACTGGGCTCTATCATATCTACACTTGAAACTGTGTATGGAGTCAGCCTCCACCACATTGCTTCCTAATGCATTCCATTTGTCAACCACTCTGACACTAAAAAAGTTCTTTCTAATATCTCTGTGGCTCATTTGGGCACTCAGTTTCCACCTGTGTCCTTTAGTGCGTGTTCCCCTTGTGTTAAATAGCCTGTCTTTATCAACCCTATCGATTCCCTTGAGAATCTTGAATGTGGTGATCATGTCCCCCCTAACTCTTCTGTCTTCCAACGAAGTGAGGTTCAATTCCCGTAGTCTCTCCTCGTAGCTCATACCTCTCAGCTCGGGTACTAGTCTGGTGGCAAACCTTTGAACCTTTTCCAGTTTAGTCTTATGCTTGACTAGATATGGACTCCATGCTGGAGCCGCATACTCCAGGATTGGTCTGACATATGTGGTATATAATGTTCTGAAAGATTCCTTACACAAGTTTCTAAAGGCCGTTCTTATGTTAGCCAACCTGGCATATGCTGGCATATGATGATGATGATGATGTGTGTGTGTATGTGTGTGTGTGTGTGTGTGTGTGTGTGTGTGTGTGTGTGTGTGTGTGTGTGTGTGTGTGTGTGTGTGTGTGTGTGTGTGTGTGTGTGTGCACGTGTGTGAGGGAGGAGGGGTGTACATAGCCTCACCTGTAGCAGGGATGTAGCGTCGTCAAGAGAGAGATACACAGGTCCTGCCGGTACACTAGCCAGGAGCCAGCATCACACACACACACACACACACCCGTCACGCCGCCATCTTGCCGCCTACACCCACCCACTACACTCCAACACTCCGCCGGGTGAGTGACGGATGACGAGAGATATCTCAAAGGGACGCCAGGAGGGATGCGTGCGTCCTCCCCCGCAGCTGCCAGCACACTGACGTCCCCTCGTAGTCTCCCCTCGAACACTGCTCCATCCGGCCCACTGTTGCCACATCGCAAATTACTCCAATATCCCAAGAAATCAATTCTTGCCGGATTTAGGCCTACGGTCTGGCTCCCTCACAACTCATACTCACTCATGACATGAACTATAGTTCATATCTACACATTCATCACCTCATCCTTGACATTATAGTTGTTTGAGTGTAGTTATGTGCATTTTTGTTACATAGTCTATATGTACATAATCTACAGTGTATATAGATATTCTATAGTTTATATATATATAGTCTATATAGTCCCCCATGTGGCGGGAACACGCTAGCTGGTTTACCTGAACCAGACGTGTCTTAAAGTTTACATTCCTGGAGGCTGTTGTTGTTGTTGTGTTCGTGTTGCTCGTTAACGTGTTCGATACACCTGACTTGGCTACTCCTTCGGCCTCGTATAAATGTCTGGGGTTCACCGAGCTTCGCTATAAAATTGGCAGGTTCGCTAAATTATCCGGCTCTCTAAGATGACGGGCCGGCTACCACGACCCCGCGTGTACCAGCCGGCCGGGCCAGCCGGCACCAGCCCGGGGGGGGGGGGCAGGTATCGATTGAGGAGGGGAGAGAGGGAGGCAGGAGTGAGGAAGGGTTGATAGGGGGGGGGGAGGGGTGAGGTAAGGTGAGGGGGGGGGAGGGGTGAGGTAAGGTGAGGGGGGGGAGGGGGAGCAGACAGCTGTAACACCCCCCCATGGGGTGGGGGGAGCCCAGGGGGGGGGAAGCCTAGGAGGGGGGGAGGCCACCCCGGGCAACATGCCTCCTTAACATTCCCTGCTCTCCGTCTCACTCCTTATAGTGCCCTATACCCTCCTTATATTATCCTTATATTGCCCCTTATATAGCCCCTTATATAGCCCTTATATTACCCTTATATTGCCCCCTTATATAGACCTTATATTACCCTTATATTCTCCTAATTACCCTAAAATTCACCCCCCCCAAAAAAGAGAGCCCTAACGGAGCCCCCCAACAACAGGGAGCCCTAACGGAGCCCCCCCCCAACAACAGGGAGCCCTAGCGGAGCCCCCCAACGACAGGGAGCCCTAGCGGAGCCCCCAACGACAGGGAGCCCTAGCGGAGCCCCCAACGACAGGGATCCCTAGCGGAGCCCCCCAACGACAGGGAGCCCTAGCGGAGCCCCCCAACGACAGGGAGCCCTAGCGGAGCCCCCCAACGACAGGGAGCCCTAACGGAGCCCCCCAACGACAGGGAGCCCTAGCGGAGCCCCCCAACGACAGGGAGCCCTAGCGGAGCCCCCCAACGACAGGGAGCCCTAGCGGAGCCCCCCAACGAACGACAGGGAGCCCTAGCGGAGCCCCCCAACGACAGGGAGCCCTAAGCCCTAACGGAGCCCCCCAACGACAGGGAGCCCCGGAGCCCCCCAACGACAGGGAGCCCTAACGGAGCCCCCCAACGACAGGGAGCCCTAGCGGAGCCCCCCAACGACAGGGAGCCCTAGCGGAGCCCCCCAACGACAGGGAGCCCCCCAGCAGGGAGCCCTAACGGAGCCCCTAACGGAGCCCCCCAACGACAGGGAGCCCTAGCGGAGCCCCCCAACGACAGGGAGCCCTAGCGGAGCCCCCCAACGACATGGAGCCCTAGCGGAGCCCCCCCCAACGACAGGGAGCCCTAGCGGAGCCCCCCAACAACAGGGAGCCCTAGCGGAGCCCCCCAACGACAGGGAGCCCTAGCGGAGCCCCCCAACGACAGGGAGCCCTAGCGGAGCCCCCCAACGACAGGGAGCCCTAGCGGAGCCCCCCAACGACAGGGAGCCCTAGCGGAGCCCCCCAACAACAGGGAGCCCTAGCGGAACCCCCCAACGACAGGGAGCCCTAGCGGAGCCCCCCAACAACAGGGAGCCCTAGCGGAGCCCCCCCCAAGGACAGGGAGCCCTACCAGAGCCCCCCAACAGTAGTAGGGAAGGCGCCTCACAGGCCATTTTTTTTCTGGGAAAAAAAAAGTGCCTGTGCGCCCCAAGGGTTTCAGGTAAATTTAGAATATCCCCTGTGCGCCCCAAGGGTTTCAGGTAAATTTAGAATATCCCCTGTGCGCCCCAAGGGTTTCAGGTAAATTTAGAATATCCCCTGTGCGCCCCAAGGGTTTCAGGTAAATTTAGAAATTCGTGTTTGTGAGCCAGGGTTTTTCAGGCGAATTTGGGCAGTCACAGATTTTAGAAGTATGGATTTCTTATGAGAAAAATAATTTCCGAGACTTAGAAGTTTGTTAAAGCCTTATGGGAGAAATTCAAATAACGTGTGTAGCACTTTAGGGCTTCCAGGAGAACTCTACGGACATATTTTACATGTTTTCAACTTACAAAATCGTCTATGTAAGCCTTAGTTATTCATATAAATTTAGAAAATCACCTGTGTAAGTCAGGGTTTTCAAGTCTCGTACATCACACCCCCCTCCCTCCCCCCCTTGCCTCGCAATCTGTCGCATCACCTTTATTTACTTTGCGCCCAGCCAGTCAGTCGGCTCTTAATCTTATCTTATCTTATCCGTAATATCTGGACCGTCCCTCCTCTCTCTCTCTCCCTCCTCTCTCTCTCTCTCCTCTTCATATTATTCCCTCTTCCTATTTTCTGACATACTAATATTTTATTCCTTTTTCATTAACCAGTCAGTTTTATACAAATCAACCGAAGCATCTCAATGTAACCTTTAATACTGAAACTGCCTCAGAGACTATCTAAGCTGGCCCCAGCTACCTGCCCCAGGCTATCTGCCCGAGGCCATCATCACCTGATTACCTGCCCCAGACATCCACCAGTCATTGTCGGCGTTCGCCACCGTAATAATTTATATATATATATACATTAAGCGTTAATAAAACTTATTTATTTATTTATAATTTATTTAGTCATCTAATTCATAGTTTACACAATTTATAATAAAAGAGTTTATCCCCAGTATTCGCCAATCATTCTCGCTATTAATAAAACAGCCAAACGCTCACTCAGGGGCACACTATCGTTATTACGCTCATTCAGGGGCCCCCTCAGATCGCCAAAGTCTCAGAGGCCTACACTTTCAGTCTACAATCAATCTTCATCCTGTTCACAAGGTTCCCCTAGCCTAGTCATATCATCATGTCAGTGTGTCCTCTGTGCCTGTCTCCTATCAACAACGAAATCGTTCATGTGTGTCAAACACGATGTTTAACATGCCTCGGTGAAATGTCCATCAACGCTCTTCAAGAATGCAGACTATACTGTATAGGATGCAACGGGCCTACACCGCCTGGACATTTTGACGTAACCTGTACCAGCTGTGGGCAACTCTATTGTGCAAATCGTAAGTACCTCTTTTTCTCGCACATTCAATAAACTTTCAAAGAAAATATATATCCGAAACACACATACATACATACATACAGACAGTCAATTTATATATATTATTTTCATTTCAGTTCATGGTTCTACTTCCTGCCCATACTGTCGTTTCTCCGTTAACCGGGAACCTCCCACCGAAGCCAGAAACGTCATTGAACCTCCACCCAAACGCCGTCGCATCATAAATAACCGTACGTTTTCACAATAATTTTCGTAATTTTAAAAGTTAATAATTGTATTTTTAACAAGTGTATAAACAAGTAATAAGTACTCATACAGAAAAATATTTCCATTACAGGAGTTCCTATTCGTGATCAAGAGAATCTCATACTTGGTGGAATCAACATCCCAGCTCGTAAGTAATATTATTATTTATCTGTAATTCAGTTTTTCCTCTTATTTAAACTTTTTGTTTTTCCTCTTAATAATAATTCCTCTTATTTACACGATATTTTCCTATTAAGGTTTTCAAATCCTCTTATTGTTTTCAAATGTGTTTTCCTCTTAATGTTTATTCATTGCTAATATTATATTACAGAATCTCCCCCGGATTCAACCCAACCCTCTGAGTGGAGCACACCTGTACGCAGTCAACCCCAGCTGTCCCAGGAGCTAGAAGAAGATGCACCAGACGGCAACCAGCATGCATCCTCAGATGAAGAAGAAGAAGACAATCAACCCCCTGTTCACGACATATCAGATGAAGAAGTCAACGCTCCAGATTCCCCAGAGGTACTTAACTTAGATAACGTTGTTCCGCGAGTGTTAGAAGTCATTAACCATTTCGAAGGTTCTTTCTCGAGACATTCGTTCTCCATTCCCGGTCATTTAGACGCCGACCCCAGCATTTATATAAATAGGTATAGGGAATTTTTTATAGAATATATAGACAATCAGTTCAGACAAATACAGGAAGAATTCCCTCCCTCATTTCACATTTACCCTGATGTAAGCCTAATTTTGCAAAAACTTAATCATGCCGACAATCAATATGAAATATTAGACGAAGTATTTTCAATTAGAGGCGAAACTCAGATTGTTACACAGGAAGAGGTGGAAGTTCTTGTAAATTCATGGGTTGACGAAATGTCTGCTAAAATTGACGAATGCCTAAAAAATGTCCAATCCTCAAGTGTAGGAATTCATTCCATGTCAGGCTTTGCCATTAATTTTTCGTATATTCGCCACCCTATGCACCTTGGATCTTACGTACCATATCCTGCAAAATTAAAGGGTAAAGAATCAGTATTTAATCCTGAAAGTGAAGGAGATGAGTGTTTGTTACAGTGCATTGCAGCGTATAAAAACTTAGCATTGGGCAGGACTATGAATAACGTTAGACAACATTACAAAAGCCTTCGATGGTGTAGAAGATTCGTAGTATGGGCAGATGAAATCAGATTCCCCGTATCATTTGATAACCTTAAGAAAATAGAGAAGCTTAACAAAATTTCTATTTATATTTATACAGTAACTCATGAAAGTAACAGATACTATCTTAGTTTAGCTAGGAAAAGCCAGGAAAAGTATGCCGATAAAGTCCCTTTGTTGTTATTAGAAGGCAAGCATCTCTGTCTGATCAAGGACTTTGATAAATTTGTAAAGAGTAT